GCGGATTATCTTCGCGATGTTCATTCGCAGTTTTGAGTGTTAGGACACAACGCTGTACTTCGGAAGGGCTTGCAACCGCTGTTGCCTTTGTCATTCATCCATCGGGAAGGCGAAAACTGCTAATGCGCTACAATACCGATGCTGATCTGCTTTGGAGCCATTTGCACAGCAGTAGGCATTTTCACTCATGCATAGGCCTCCTGCGCTGAAGCTTTGAACGTATCGTGGCGCCCTCGGGTGGCGGGCGATAGAGTGTCTGGGTAGTACAAGTCCCGCGGCCCCACGCAGTAACAAACCTGTTCGAGCAGCTGTTTACCTCTGGACACTGCTGTTATTTGTGTGTTCGCGTGGTCATGTCACAAAATATGTCACCCGTGGTCGTCAACTTACAACGTTACCCCGGGGACCCGACCTCGCCGCAAGCTAGTAATGTTTCCTTCGTCTAAGCACGTCGAAACCGGCAGCCAGCAGCGCGGCCTCGATACGTTCGAAACGTCGCCGTCGATGGAACTATTGCGTTCGTTAACTGTCTAGAACTGGAAAACACCCGGCGTGAACGTCTACAGGTTCCCATCGAGATTGTGCAAAGGCGAGCGGAGGATACGACGCTAACCGCCCAGCGCACTGAGTACGCGACACGATTGTTTTTCTCGCCCTCTAGGTTGTTCTGCTAAGGCACAGCAACTCGATCAAGCGGCCATGGAATGCATCGAAACGAGCGTCATGCGAATTGCAAGCATGTGCTGAAGGTAGAGTTTCTAGTGCGTATCTTATGTTGCATGAAGCTTACATCGCAGATGAGCAAGAAAAGATGCAAGAGCTCGAGAGGCAGCATGCAGTTCTTTGTTTTTCTCCTGCAGCCGCGGGTTGTTGGCTAGCAGACACACAAGCGCACGGGCTTTCGTATTTCTGTTCTAGTCGAGCAATCCACTCGGGGTAAAATGTCTCTGCAAATAAAGATTGTTGTTATTAGTAGTAGTAGTAGCAGTAATAGTAGAAGTAATAGTAATAGTAAAAAAATGAAAGCCATTTACAACTCTCTGTAACGCCGGAATAGAGCGCAGCTCTTGAGAAGGATGGAAGGGTACTGAGGGATAGGATGGTAGGGTACTGAGGGATAGGTGACTCCCTGAGGTCACGTGACCTTGGCGGGGAGGGTCACGTGACATCAGGGGGTTCACGTGACCTGAGGGGGGTCACGTGACCTCAGCGGAGGGTCCCGCGACCTCAGGGGGTAACCCTCATGACCCTCGTGAGGGTAACCCTCGTGACCATTGCGAGGGTAACTCTCGTGAGGGTAACTCTCATAACCCTAGTAACCCTTGTGAGGGTAACTCTCATAGCCCTCGTGACCCTCGTGAGGGTAACCCTCGTAACCCTCATGAGAGTAACCCTCGTAACCCTCATGAGAGTAACCCTCGTAACCCTCTTGTGGGTTACGAGGGTTACTCTTACGTGAGGGGAACTCTCATAACCCTAGTAACCCATGTGAGGGTAACCGTCGTGACCCTCGTGAAGATAACTCATAACCCTCGTGACCCTCGTGAGGGTAACTCTCATAACCCTCGTGACCCTCGTGAGGGTAACCCTTGCAACCCTCGTGAGGGTAACCCTCGTAACTCTAGTGAGAGTGACCCTCGTAGCCCTCGTGAGGGTTACGAGGGTTACGAGGGTTGCTACCCTCACGAGGATCACGAGAGTTACACTCGTAACCCTCGCGAGAGTAACCCTCGTAACCCTCGTGACAGTAACCCTAGTAACCCTCACGAGGGTTACGAGGGTTACATGCGGTTACGCCGACGGCGACGCCGACGCCGCTCAAGCCGGAAACGGGCGCCTAAGAGCTGCGCTCTAAAACGATGCGCTTGGCCGGTCGACGCTCGATCGCTTTCGTCGGCTATCGTGCAATTTCGAGGTTGGTCCCTCCGTACAGTGTTGGCTGTACGGAGGGACTGCAGTTAGGGCGTTTTTGCTTACAAGGCCCGCTATCGTATCTCGTAATGCTCTCCCCAAGCTCGACATCATAAGAAGCTCACTGTGTTTTCTAGTTACAGCACGCCGACACCACATTTGCGACATCTTGTACAGGATGGAAGTAGCTTGCGATCGCTGACTTTATTTTCTCTGCGAAGTGTGGACGAACGAAAGAAGCTCTCCACGTTAGAAATTGGCTCGACCTCGTGCCGTAAGACAATCGTAAGGGGGGAATTCATACCGCCGTCTAAAGTTTTCAAGCGCGACAAATTCAAATGCGAAAGGTTGTGCTACCCAATACTGATAAGCAAATAGTAGGGGGCGCTGCCAGCCGGTTTTTCCTAAAGCCCCTCGATATGTTTTCGTTTGTCTCTGCAAGTAGCGCCAAATGCGCGAGCGCACGTGGCCCAGGTCTCGAGCGGCCCTTGGAAGCAAATGGCGGCGCAGCACTGAAATGAGCGGCCCTTGGAAGCGAATGGCGGCGGAGCACCCGCTCGTGGCACGTGTCTTGCGCATTTCCACAACAATGGTTGGCGGTACTTGTGAAAACACCTTTATCAAGGGGCTTTAGTTTTTCCGCAGCGCCTCTTGGACAAAGCAGGAGGCTTATTCGACGCTCCACATGGGCGTCTCACTTCATCGTCTGCTATAGCAATAGACACTCCGCTTGAGCATTTGTTTTATTTAAATGAGCTACGTAAGTCGCTTAAGCTGGGGATAGAGCAGACGGTGTAGCAGACAATGGCGCGCACCCGGGCTGCCTGTGGGGTGCTGGGTGGATTTAGTAGTGCTGGCGTTTAGAGGACGAAACACACAGGCGTTGTGTTCTAGGTAGTATATACCTAATGCTGAATATCCAAGCATCAAGGAGAATGCAATTATTGGTGTTCCACGCGCCGCACGTCCTGGCCTAAGCAATTGTGACTTTTCTAAAGCAAATGCCTAAAACAACTTGCATCTCGAACGCGCGTTTGTGAACGCTTTATTTTGGTTATTTACTTCGAATCTTCTATACGGGGAAGGCGTGCGCGTGTGGCGCGTGGAACACTAATCCCTGCATTCTCCTTGCTGCTTGGGTAATTTAGCAATACGTCTATCGGAAGGGGGGATTGGTGGCCAATGGGGCTAGCGTAATACCCAAATCACACGGCAGCGTAAAGGTACCTTTAGCCCAGGTACCTGTCGTAAAGGAAGCTGGAGATCGTGATCACAAGGCGCATGAAGGTTCCTTTCGCTAAGGGAGGTCCTGTGTTAAAAGGAGCTCGCCGAGCTCCCTTAACAACTACAGGGAGTAGACTCAGACCCACGAACTCAGAATAATATCACAGATATATAAATATATCTTGTTTAATGCATTATAACAAATTGAATATATATAAGTATCAAATTATGAAATGATTCTGAACACAAATCTGATGGAATAATACAATAATGATGAACGCATACTCTAGCTAGCAGGTAGCAGCGGCGGCACGTGGAAAGCAATGTCTGCTACGAACCCGAAAGCGATAGACCACTGCGAGCTCTTTTTTGAGGTTGTAGACGAGTTGCCCCACTATCCCGCCCAGGACCTTTTATAAACGTCGTCGTCCATCCCTCTCGATCCCGTGACTGGCGTAACCGTGAGTCTGCAACGTGCTTCGTTTCTGCCGGGACCTATTCAGCTACTTCAGTGAGAACTTTGCAAAAAAAATGGAGCTGCTAAACTAAAAGGTCGCCCACCTCGCAATGCGAATTCGTGAACGCCGATGATTTAGGGCCAGTGTGGCCAGATGGGTAGGACGTTTTAAAGCAAGACTCATTTACGTCCACCCTTAGACTTCGAGGAAAAAGCAAAGTGCCGCAAAAGCAGACAGAAATACTATTACGGTTTTAAATGTGATATTTCTCATCCAATAATAATAAAAAAAACTGCGCGTCAAACCGATTTCAAGGAATACCTATTTATCACGTGCTCCTCTCGCGGTTAAGCTGGAATGCAATCGACATCACTCTAAAGTGCTCCGTTTATTTATCGTGAGATCAAGAACGCCGTTTACTACAGTTACCTTCAGCAAAGGGACCTAAGCTAAAGGTACCTTTACTCTGCAGTGTGAATTGGGTATCAGCTCCGAGCACGTAGAGCGAAAGCTCGCGCTGCAGATCCCGGGGATCGTGGGTTCAGTCCCCACACCTGCCCGTCTCAATCTGGATGAGCATCGCACCGGCGTTCGGTCCTGTATCACTACTGCCTGGTGCACGTTAAAGAGCCCAGGCTAGCGGTTGTACTGCACTGGCTAAATGTATCTTCTACAGCTGGGGGACAAGTCGCCCGTTGAGACAGACTAAGTTCTGGACTGTACAAACATACACACACCCCACATTTTTTTTTAGAAAGTATTGGCTATAGACTGACACATAGTTTTCAAACAAGCGATCGTTGGCACGTGCGCGTGCGCAGACACCAGATTCGTGTGAAGCGCCTGCGCATGCGCCGTGCCATCGAAAGCGCCGCTGCAGCTGCGTGACGTCAGGGCCAGGTATTGTTGCATACTCCGTTTCACTGTAAAGCCTGGTTCAGACAGTTGCGTTTGACTGCGCTTGACTGCGTTTGACTGCGTTTGACTGCGTTGCGGCTGCGAGAAACCAGGACATTCCTGCTGCTTATATCGCGTGCCAAGATGATTCCTTGAATTAGATTCCACGCTTCATACGAAGCACAGATGTGCCGGTGACTCGCTTTCGGTTCTCAACGCAACGCAGTCAAACGCACTCAAACGCAAGTGTCTGAACCGGCCTTAAGAGTGAGCGTAGCAGAAGCTACGAGAGCGAACTCAGCGGACTTTCAGGGTCCCAGCCGAGCACGCGCGCTCGTGCAGTGCAAGCACTGTTCAGGTCCACACGCTCACGCTTGTAGCTTCGGCCTCACTTGCACTTCAAGTGAAACAGAGTGTGGCACATGCGAACTCTAATTTCCGCTTAATTGTTTTTTAACTTGTCGTTTAGGCACAATGGTAGTAATTATAATATTGTGTTGAACACATTACCCTTCCCAAGCGAAGTCCGCCAGTGTTCTGATCATTCGAAGAGTGGTGTCTCTGTCTTCGTCGGTGGCCAGAAAAGGGTATAGGAAAGAGTATCCAAAAAGCATAAACACGTCTTCGGCATGGCCTGCATACTCGGCGCTGAACACACTGAAGGAAGGTTTTGACCAAATCTCTTGCATGTACACGTTTGCTCCTTTTTCACTCAGAGCTTCCCCCATAAAATGCATGGGGCAGCGAAACAAGATATCTCCTAAAAGCTCTTTCCATCCCATGTAGTTATCCTGCGATATGTTGTAAGGTCCCGGTAACAATTCAAGTATACCATACAAGGTATCGTTGTCAATATTGTCGAAAATGGTAGGAAACGTTTGAGCAAGCAAGGCTGGAGTAAACGTAAGATTATTCTCGACCACATCCGGGAATGCCAGTTCAAAGTACCCCGCTCCATCGGAACGAGTAGAGGAGAGCAGAACCGTCTTGTTGATTGCTTCAATACCTTGCAGTAATTCGGTCAGCTTAACGGGCAAAATATCGTCGTAGTAACTTGGTGTGAAAAGTAGGCTTGATTCCAATTCCGCATTCAATACCTTCGTGCCATTCTTTGCCCGTAGACATTCAAGTGATTCAGTGGTCGTTTCAATGGAACAGCTGGCTTTGTTTGAAAATATCTCGAAATTGTCTTTTGCAGAACCTTCAGAATTTTCAGGCAGTACTGTGAACGCTGAGCCACTCAATAAGTATGCCTTGGAGTAGAACGAACTTGGTAGCAATGGACTAATCATGAACAAGGAACTTATAATTGACCCCGCGCTCTGGCCAGCAAGAATTATGTTGTTCCTGTCGCCTCCAAAGCGTTCAATGTGGTTCATCACCCAATCATGCGCCGTAATCATGTCGTGCAGCGCCATGTTGCCAGTGACGTCTGGTGTGTCCGTGTTAAGGAAACCAAACACCCCGACGCGGTAGTTGGGAGCCACGACTATCATCTTTCCAAACCCCGAAATAAAGCGGCCATCGTAGAAGTCAAAGCTGTTTCCTCCAGTGTTAAATGTTCCACCATACGCCCAGAAAATGACAGGATACCGCTGACTACCGTCAACACAACCCGTTGGTACCCAGATGTTCAGATGCAAGCAATCTTCAGTTGCGTTCGATGCGTCGACGAAGAAGCCATTTGGCCCCGTTGTGTTTCGCTGGATGCACGGTGACCTCTTGTAAGTAGCGTTGAAGACTCCGTTCCAGCCTGAAGTAGCGGTAGGTTTCTTAAAGCGGTTTTCATATCCTGTGTCTTCAGCGAAAGGGATGCCCAGGAAGGCCGCAGTTTGGTAAGAGACTCCGTTGTGTTCGAAGTTCACCGCCGTGCCCTGCACTTCACCCAGGCTTAGCGCAACTTGAAGGCAGCTCTGAGTGAATCGTTCCTGAACTGCTGCAGTCCCCAAGACGACAGATAGCATTAGAGCGATGAACGTGTCCAACACTTCCATCACAAACCACCTGCAAAGTGAAAATAACATAGAGTCTTTAAAATGTTTAAAATAATGCACTTGTTTCGAATTTTTTTACTTATAATGTGCCGTTGGCTTTTGATTATGCTATATGGAACATGCGACGTATACGTTGTGATAATGATCCGAGCCAGAATTGATATGAAATATAAACTTCTCTTTATTTTTTCTCCTCCTTTCCCCTCATTTTTTTTTCTTGGAACGTCTCCCCATCAGACGTTATGGATTTGAAGGTAATCGTCACTGCCAATGTTTACAACCAAGAGGATCCCGCTGACCAGTGTTGTAAAGACTAGTTCCAGTAGCTAGAAAAGCTATCGTATATTGTAAGCTAATATATGTTACTACACCAACAATGCGTAATACCCTTGAAAAATAAAACTGAATAGTCTGTAGGTTTAATAGCGACAAAAACAGCTCTGATTAGCGCATGCCAGACATTCAGCTCTGATCAGATACACCAGGCAGAGACTCTAGACATAAAAAATGAGAATACTAGCATCAAGGCGTTATCGGAGCATTCTCATGTTGGAGACTTTTTTTATAAAATTATGTGAAAATATCTGCTTTCGGTCAGCATGACTATAGTTAATGAGACTACATATGAGAACGGCACACCAGTTGCCTGCCTTCAGCGCTACTTTCCCATAGACTTCCATAAAAGGGCTCCTGGCCGGTTCTATTTCAAGTTTTCGTGCGTATGGTGCGTGATTTGCTCGCTTTCCGAAGCGACGAACGTGCGCGTGCTTGTTTGAGGAGATTGCACGCTAGGCTGAAGACTTGTAAATTTTGGAAAGGCGTCTACTCCCTTCACCCTCATGCTGAGACTCGTGCTCTTGTGCCTGTGCATTGGCTGCAGTCTCAGCTTGAAGGGGCAATGCAACAATTCTTGCGCTTACACAAATAATGCTTAGAACGAATTTCTGATATTAAGTACCTATGAAACACACGTTCTTTTCTCAACGCACGCAGTAGACGTCGCAAAAAAAAATCAAAGAAAAACGAGCAGCGTTCAACCCGTCAAATCGCAGCCATAAAAGCGGCCGGCTGATATGGAGCCGATAATATTCCGTCAGTGTTAAAGGAACAATGAAGGCGATTTTAATTATCTTAGTTGAATGGTGTTTTTAGGCCTCCTACGAACCTAGCACACTGCTCAATTGTAATGGACATTTGTGACGCGTATTTCTATGCCTCCCAAAGAACTGAAGAAACCGAAACTGAACTATCTTCATTCTTATTTCTGGGCCTTCGAAAACGGAGGTGACGTAGGGGGGTGACGTCAGTGTGAATAGTCGGTATCAGTAGCATTTAGGAGATCGAGACTCTGGTAAGCGCGGTGGGTTATAGCAGCTCAGTGGGACGGTCGTTTCGTCGTACCTGTCAACATGGACGACAGTGCCGCTCTCGCGAGTGAGTTCGGGCGCTTTGCAGAATCCTTAGAGTGCCAGAATCCTTACAGTGCCATGTTCTCAAAGTAAACACGAGACCAACTTCTGAAGCCAGAACCAAACCTCTCCCGCGTCTTGCACGCTGTATTTTTTTTTATTTACCTTGTTTGCTCATATTTGCTCGTTATACGTTTCGGGTCCAGCATACCAATGCGAAAAATAATTATGCTGTTTTAATTAGGGTTTAGTAATCATTTCTGGTCCGATTTATACTTTTCATGGTTATTCAAGTCAAAATTGCAACAGTGTTAAAAAAAATCGCGAACCAAAAATTTGAACGAGGGCACGTCTCTCGTTTTCTTCCAATCGCTGACGCGTCTCTTGTGACGTTGCGCTTCTAAGCTCCGCAAAGTCACGCAAACTCCGATTCTCCTGGCTTCTCCCGCAACTCTCGGGGCGTCGCCGCAATCGATCCAGGTACGATTATTACTGCAACTGTTTAATTGATTTGCGAGGCATACAAACGTCGGTTTCGGCTTAAATTTAGGTACCGTTGCCTAGGACGTAGCTGAAGCCCATATCGATCCCCCCGAAAAATAGCCGAGATTGTCTTCATTATCTCTTTAATAATTGCCACGTGCTGGGGTTGGCAAAGCACATGCCACGCGCTGATTTCAAGACTTTGTTAGGGTTCGGCAATTCTCGGCAGTGCAGCGATTAGAAACGGCCCCCTACCCGAATGCTTGTCGAACTATTGATTATCACGAGCCCAAGTTGTGTGCTCACAGAATGCTCGGGCCCAGCCAATGAGCCGCATTCAAATATTGTCATTGAAGGATACTGCAATCTCTCAGCTACTTCATCGAATTTTGCGAAGGAGGGAATGAAGAACAAAATCTCGCCTTTGTCCTTGAAATGACAGCGCAACAAAAAAAAAAAAAAAAGATTCTTGGTCAGTGGCTTTGCGTGCAACTGTACATGGGTCCCACTATTGTCAGTAAGCTCCTGTAAAGTGAGAAAACATTCAAAGCAGATATCATTCCACGGCCCCTTTAAAGGTGAACGGAATATAATGGTGACTTCACAACACTTCTGACCAATCACGAGTGAGTGCGTGGGAAATCCTATATACACCGGCCGGCAAGCCGGCGTCTATGGGGTCCGCGATCAAACACGCACGAGTTGGACCGTGCGTTTACTACGTCTCTAAAACACAAAAGAAACACTTAAATGCAGGGATAAACACAGAAGTAGAATTCCGTGCCTGTTGAATGAACATTCAATAAAAGCAAGGCTAGCAGTATATATCGGTAACACAGAGGCTAACTACGTCAGCGGTACAATTTTCAAGCGTCGCGCGGTTCACAAAGAGCTAGGCCTGACGCGCGGTCCGACACTTGAACCCGTGACGTCAGTCATGAAAACATCATACCTGTGAAACCTTGCGTTTAGCCACGTCCTAAGTTGACGTCGTTTTGGCAAAGAGAAAAATATCTCGAAATTGTCTTTTGCGGAATCCTCAGAATTTTCAGGCAGCACTGCGAACGCCTTGCTTTTAATACCGGTCAACGAATGGATTACTCCCAGCAATACCCACAGGGCTCTGAAACGCCATGTATTGTTCAGATGGGCATATGAACGGTAATGGAGACGATTTCGCTGTCCAAAATCGCCCCGCGAGCACGAAATTAGGGAGACGGGCCCTTCGTAAAATCACTGGGCGCCATAACTGCGAGGTTTGACCGCCGCTCTCCGGAAACCGATTCCTGCTTTTAAGAAATAAAAGCGTTTTTACAAACGAGCACAAAAAATGCTTCCTAATATTTTTGTTTCTCAACAGGTGATTTCGCCGCCTTTAATATGCTATTGCTCTCAAGGTACTATATAATGCATAAAATGCGTTGTAGGACTTTGAATATTAAATTTAGTGGTGAAAATATATCAGTGTATGGTCCACCTGGCGTCAGGTAACGTGACATCAATTTTGCCGCCAAATTTAGCAGGGAAACGAAATGTGCGTATAGGTCACGTGATGTAGGTCACGTGACATCAATTTTCGCACAAAATTTTCCAACAAAACTGAATTGGTGTTTTGGTCACGTTACATTGCCCGCTAAATGTTCCCGGCAAATTTAGCGGAGAAACTGATTTTGGTTTATAGGTCACGTGACCTTGCTGGAACTTTGCGTGGGTAGAGCACGAGATGGCATTAGCCCTCACATGCACGGCCGTCTGCGTCCCGTCAGCTAAAGTAATGGTTGCGTCACGCATGCGCCGAAGGCTTTGTGAGTCTGGTCTATTGATAAGCGCCGTTTAATCGACTCTTCTCGCCATCAAGGCGAGAAACGTACAGAGCTCTGATAGAAAATATTTCCGTTGCCTTGTATGCAAACAGATGTGGCACCGAGAGCACGCTGAAAAGAAAACGCGCAGAAACAAAACTCAGTCAAACAAGTTCCAATTAACAAAAACAAGCGAAAGGTCAGTAGTTCCCAAAAACTGGTACTCTGCTGTTCATTCTCCGCTTTCCGCGATGCCACAAGCTTTTCGCTTTTAGTTTTGAAATTGAGGTGTCAGTACTAAAAACGATTTGTAGTATACATTAAGTATACTGGGGATATATCTTAAAAATAATTTGCAAAGTCATCGTCAAGGTGCAAGCTGCTAAATCGTCAAGGTGGAAGATTGCTACAATATTAGTGCATTACCCGTTACCCTAAGTATTTCCAATAATAAGAACCTTTAGTAGATTAAGAGCTTTGCGTTACTAGTCGCTGCTAATGAAAACCCGTGCTCTAACGTTGAGCGCGGATTGAGAACGCGCCGGTGGTGCTCGGATAACTCAACATACGAGCTACGAAATCCCCTACAACTCACAAGCGCTTGTCCTGTATACTTGTACTTGTCTTTTTGCGCTATTTTATATATTTAACTAAGATGAAACAACTAACCCAACAACGTACCCTACTGATCACAAATACCTGCGCAGGAATAAATGTAGTCTTTATAATGTTCGGGTATTAAGTCATGCACAATTAAGCCTCAAATCCCCGGTGGAATTTCTCGAATTATTCTTGCCCGCCTATGATACCGCAGTTTCATTACCTGAGGTGCCAAAAAGATATCGGACCAGAACTTCGCTGCTCGATTTGCCGGAAATTCAGGTGGGGGATGTGCGAACGTGGCTTCCACTTCTGAAGTCTTGTGCACGGTACGCCACCAGCGATGATGCCGAATATTCGAAAACTACCTTCGGTTGAAATAAAATGACTTGAAGCTCCAACAATTCGAAACACAGTACTGGAAGCGGCAACAATGCCCTCACTAGGCACGAGGCGGCGTATTTCTACCTTGTCGAAAATATATTACATCCGTTAACAGGGGTTGACGTTCAGCTGCGGTTGGGAAATGGGTATCATTTAATGCACATCCAAGTTTTTGCTCATATCCGGTAACTTATGGGAAGTTCCGCAGGTGGATTTGGATTGATGCAAAAGTGCTCTGGGTACGCGTTTTTCGAGCAGTAAATGTGAGCTCGCGCATGCATCTTTATAAGATTTTAGCAAGACAAGCGCTGCAAAATCAATCTAAATTTCGC